TTGATGGGTAAATGGTGGGGGAGGCTAGCAGTTAAAGAGGATGGATTATGGAGGAAAGTGATTGCAAGCAAATATAGGGAGGGTGGGGGGCAGTGGATGGACTGGGTTAGGAACGGTGCAGGGACTTGTTCTTCTTGGTGGAGAGATGTCAGAAGGATTAATAATGCAGAGGGGGAAATATCTGGATGGTTAACAGAGAGTTTTAGACCGAAGGTAGGAGAAGGGAAGGATGTAAGCTTTTGGTGGGATGAGTGGTGTGGGGAGATTTGTCTAGCTAACAAATTCCTGAGATTGTACCTCTTATCTGCAGGAAAGGAGAAAGAATGCTGCCAAATGGGGACTATGAGTAATGGATCGTGGAAATGGACCCTCACTTGGAGAAGGGAGTTGCTAGAAAGGGAAGAAGAGGCTGTAAAAGAACTCAGTGCGGTAATCGAGAATGTGAAGATATCTCCTGGCCGGCCTGATGAATGGGAGTGGATACACAGCAAGGATTTCCGCTACTCATCCAAAACAGCGTACTCACTCTTGTCAAAGGTGCCGAGGAATCTGACTCAAGAAAAAGTCTTCAGGAGGGTATGGAATCCCAACCTACCTAGCAAGATCTTTGCTTTCAACTGGCAACTGCTGCTCAATAGACTTCCAACCAAATCAAACTTGCTGAAAAGAGGTTTGGGCGTAGTCATGGGTGATGGCAATTGCAACCTGTGTCAAGAAGAGGAAGAAGACACAACCCATCTGTTCCTGAAATGCAAAAATGTAAGATGGATATGGAAGGAGTGCGCGAGGTGGTGGGGAATCAACATAGAGATACAAGAGGACTGCTGGAAGACTTTTGAACATCCTAGGGCATGGACTAAAAGCACGAGGGTCAGAAAAGGATGGGATTGTACATGGAGTGCAATAGTATGGTCCATATGGTTGATGCGCAATCGAAGGATCTTCCAGAACCAAGAGATGGACCAGGGTAAGCTACTCGATCTGGTTCAAGTTCGATCGTTCTTATGGTTTAAAGCAAAAAAAGCCTGGTGTTACTTTTCTCTTTCGGATTGGTTAAGCAATCCTATTGCATGCCTCTCTATGAATTGTAGAGTTAAAAGCTAGGGAGGAGTTGTCTGAAAGATGGAATTAACATTTAAAGGCTGGGTTTTGTGTTGTTTGTGGTAATGCTTGGGAGGACTGATTTTCGTCACGGGCATAGTGTCGACACTTAGAATGGGTGTC